TCTCCCGTAGTGACTATGCGAGTTTGATCAGGCACAAAGTGGCCATGGACTTGGATCAACTAAATGATAAGGATATTTTTGAGAACTCGTACTCATTGCTTCGCTCCTTTGTTTCTTAGTCTAATTTATTAGACACCCAAGAAACATAATCATTGAAAGAGACAACTTCCACTACAATAGGCATAAAGGCATGATTGGTACCACAAAGCTCACTACATTGACTATAGTAAACTCCTCGTTTGATAAAGATGGAAGTCTGATTAACACAATTGCCTAAAGAGTAACGGAGGGGCGCGAAGGTAGGCTCAAGCTAGCGCTTTGCGCAGCTGTAGAGCGTAATGGTCAAAGCCTGCCTGACTGTGAGACCTGCAAGTCGAACAGAGACGAAAGTGGACCATAGTGATCTGGGGGCCCCGTGTGGAAGGGCTCTCGCTCAACGGATCAAAGGTACGCCGGGGATAACAAGCTGATGACTCCCAAGAGCTCATATCAGCAGATGTTATAATCATACGTAAATGAGCTTTGGCTGGTACAACCACTCGAGTATCTACTTCTAATAAACGTAATTGACCCAATTGTAGATCATCCTCTGGAATCATATAACTATCAAAAGTAAGTGATTGTTCATCAGAAGTATTATAATTTGAATACACCCACCTGTCTTTTACTACCGCCCACACATTAACCCAAGGTCTCAGCATACGGTAGGCTGTTTGACCGTAAGAGACTGCAGCTGGCAGATCTGTTGTGTCCTACCCCTTCGCCACCTCCATTCCTATGGGTCGAATGCCAGGTCGGTGAGCGGATGCTCCATTCTGTAGGCTTGCCTTGCCATATGTCATCCGACCGAGAGTGCAGGATATGGATATTGTACAGAGTCTCCTTGTCACACTACTGTACCCTGTTTGGGTGGTATCTCACTAGCATGTTGTTACTGTTTGTGTTGAAAAGACCAGATGGCGGGTTTGTACCAGATGGAGGCTAGCACCATATTGTTATAACGAGTGCTCTCCCGAAGATCAAAGTGTGCTTGTTTTTCCATCTTTCCATTTTTTTGAGGGGGGGTTTGAAGATCTAAGTAATCTGGAAGCGGGAGCTGCAGCCAGGCCTTGAGCAGGGTGATCCAAAAAACATCCCTTGTCAAATCCTGCTAGGCAGTGCCCTTCTCCTCTTGTTCTGTAGTGTGGAGTTGTGCCTTGGGTAGGGCCCAAAACGGCCCTCGATCCAAGTGAGAGGGCCGACCTCGTCCGTCGTTTGCTGGGCCAGCCGTCAGATCTGCTCTAGGGCCATCTCTCTCCAGGGGAGGCTCGGGGTGAAAATCAGCCTTTTGACCCATTGATTGACAGTGCCTTAATCTGTGTGGCGAGTCCAAGATCCTTAGCCCCCCTCTAGGTTTTGGTTGGATGAGGGTGTCTGTTGCATACTGTAACGTGCAGACCAGAACAAGAACCGACCTTTCAATACAAAGTATAAGATAGCACAACGGAAGACTTAGATACCAGTGATC